AACACGTAGGTTTCCTGGTTGCGGTTTTTCACTTTTCAGTTTTCACTACGAAAAAACTTGGACAAAACAGAAGCCAGTGAGATTCAGTATTTTCTTCAAAGGTTTTTTGTTGATCAATAGGGTAATATGCCCAAAAATGTCAAAACAAGCTAACATTTCATACTATTTTCCAGAAGAAATCTTGCTCCAAATCTTTCAGAAACTGCCCACCAAGTCTCTGGGGCGGTGCCTGTGTGTCTGCCAAAACTGGCACTCCGTCATAAAAGAACCATCTTTTATCTCAACCCATCTCAGCAACTCAACAATCTCTTCAAACAACAGCAGTAGCAAACTCTTCGTTGTCATGACTATCCTCCCTGAAGAACATGGAGAAGTGGAGAACATTTTGCAATTTGACGACCAAGAGTTCAGCGAGTACACTCAGCTACAGTACCTCCCATTTGATGGCCTACCTTCTTTAGTAGGTTCTTGCAATGGATTGCTTTGTTTAGTGGATTCTGAGTATCGTTACACTAGCAACTTCATTATTTAGAACCCCCAAAATGTATAAGACTCCCAAATCCATGTCTTTGTCGTACTTGGTTCATGCCAAGTTATGTTTCTATTGGATTTGGATTTGATTCCAGAAGAAATGATTACAAAGTTTTGAGAATTACTAAGCAGAATTTTGACAAGTGCATTGAGGTTGAGCTTTACCCACTTAAAAAGAATCCTTGGAAACTATTAGCTCCACCAAAATATGATTTTTATTCTAATGATGTGGTTTTTGTTAGTGGAGTTCTTCATTGGATTGCTTGTGAGAGAATGAATGATCTAGGGCGTGGGCGTAAGTTTCTGCTTTTGGGCTTTTCATATGAGCAATGAGGATTTTAAGAAGATTATGTTGCCAGAGAGTTTGAGTGATTTACGAGACAGGACAAAGTTGTATATCATGGAACATGGTGAATCGTCATCAATTGCAGTGCTATAAGATGCATATCCTTTTCCTGGGCAGCAGTATACTCGTATATGGGTATTGAAAAAGTATGGTGCGATAAAGACATGGATTAAGCTGTTCAGGCTGGAAAGTAAAGGAATGGAGTGGACACTAAGGATTATGGGGTTTAGGAAAAATGGGGATTTGATAGGTAGGACTCGTAACGAGGGTAAGCTGGCATCATTAGAACTTGGACTTCAATAAAACTAAGGATGTGGGAGTACGGGGAAAATACAATTATGGTTATGTTTTTAGTTATCTGGAGAGTCTGGTATTACTTAACCAAGGAAATGATGCTAGGAGTGAGAATGGTGCGAAGAATGCAAGTAATGCTAGAAATCCAACTGAGGAAGCAACTGATGATTTTAGTGAATATGCTGCTGATGATGAAGCAACTGATGATTCAAGCGATGATGGTTTTACAAGTGATGCATTCCCTGAATAAGGGAGGAGGACAAGACAGACAGGCAAGCGTATTTGCTATTACTATCACAATTGTCTGTTTTGTTCTTTTTATGTTAGCATACATGTTAACATTTGATAATAATCTTGTGTCAAATTCAAGTCTAGATTACTTAACTGCACCTGCTTCAAGCTGCTTACTTGCTCTGTAGTCCATTCATGCAATAACTAACAAATCAAAGACTATGGCTGGTGCTGGAAACACCTTTGATTAGGTATGATAGGAGGCTGGTGGAAATTTGTGACCCTTACAAAACATATATTCCTTCTTTAGCTTCCTTGGGTTTGGCTATTTGGTTAATTTAAGAACCAATGACTGCAAACTTTTGTCTGTATTGTATCTTAAGAATTTCACTGAGTATATGGGCTTACTTTTTCTAATACTTACGATAACTACTCAAGGAAAAACTGTGGTTGGTACTGAAAGCACCTTTGACACAGTAGGCTTGTTTGTCTCTTCTGGTCCCAAATATTTACATTTTGAACATCTGATTTTCAATTGTTTTGTGGTGTCACTATTTAATTTAATCCCCTCACTTCTGCACTTGTGGGATCTCTGCTTCACATTTCCTTTTTGTTACTTTATATTTGTGCAAAATGCATTTGGTGTTCTTAGTCTATCACTCTATTGCCTTATGATCAGAATTTTCTGTTTAAGTTTTGTGATGAGATTAAACTATATTATTGCAGGAGAATGTCCAAGGTGGCATGAGTTTGGCCACATATTAAAGAAGTAGGCAGCAGCCTTGATTGTATGTTTGAAAGTTTTTTTGTCATGAAAAGGGAAGGATTCTAGTTAAGGAAATGCTGTTGCTCTACCTTCTTATTCCCCTTTTTTAACATTGTGTTTGGAAATAAAAAATTATGAACAAGTCTTAGTGATTGATGATGAAATGTTGCCACATCTTCATCGACGATCTCACTGTTTTTTGTGTCATGCTTGAATTAGTTTAAACAGAACAGTGTTTATTAGATGCTCAACTTGAGGCTATCCCAAACTTATGCGATTGCTTACCGTTTCATTTTGATAATAATACCAGTTGTTTCCCCCGAATCCTGATAGATTTGAGCTGAAGAAACAATGGATAAACGACCAAAAGAAAAATTAAAAGCAATCATTTTTTTTCGCCCTTTGTTTGATCAGCTGCTTGATTATGCTTTTCCAGCAATACAGAGCCATTGACCAACAAAGAGTGAATCACACTCGAGATTGGGGTTGACTGATTCGAAGAATTTAGTGGTCAAGTTGAACATCTTTGTTACAGCAAAGTATGTATCTCCACCAACTACGCCGTAGACCTTGTCACAGGTTGGGGCGCTTTTCTTTCCGTTGAGAACTGCACATTTCTATACATTTGATTAATTCTAATACCAAACATAAATGAATATTCAAACTTTGTTCTAATTATTGAGATTTCAGTTTATAATTTGAGACACCCAATTTCTCGGCTTTCAGCCATGGATACAATGACCAAAACAGCAACGATCAAGACAAAGTTGGTGAGCATGGCAATTTTGTTGCTGGACTTTGCCATTTTCGTTGTTACTTTTCTTTTATTTTCTTGCTTTTAGCTTGTGAACCTGTTCTGCTCCTTGGTGGAGCAACTTCCTGGATTAAACTCCTATTTATAGGAAAAATTAATCTTAGTAACACACAAAAAGAGTCTAGAATCCGTTAATATCTGAGCTGGAAACAAGAGGCCGGCTTTTCTTTGTGAACTGTGATCTGTTCTCATTCCATGGCGGATTAGACAAAGACAAAGCAATGCTAATTACTAAGATTAAGAATATTAAAGCAACATAGAGGAGAGGTTTGCAATTGTATCACTTTCCATTAACTTAAAGCTGTAAGTAGGCCATCATCTGGAGATAGAGAAAGGGATTGCATGTGTTAGATTGAACATTAGATATATTAGATGCCATTGCTTAAAGATGGTTACACTAACCAATTGAACTAAACTTCGAGTTTAATCACAAGTTCTATGTACTTAGTTATGTCAACAAGCTAGTTCACTGTATATTGAAACCAAATAAGACAACAACTTATGTTAACAAGCTACTTCACTATAGATTAAAACCAAATAAGACAAGAGGGTGTAGGTTCCTGGATTTGTTGCACATCTCAAAAGCAAATGTCAAGGCAGCAGTAACAACACAAGCCGCTACAACTGCATATAGGAAAAATAAAAAGCAAGTTAAACCAGTTGTTTGACAAATTTATAGGTTTTTGTGAGTTCATTTGCCAGAAGAGAGAGAGAGAGAGAGAGATTACAATCCACTCCAAAATCCACCGCCTTTGGAGCTAGTTTTCCCTGGAGGATTTTGAGCTTCTTTGGTTGGATAATTTGCCATTTTTGGAGCTGCAGAAGGATTTGGTGGTGTAGGCAAGGGAGGAGGATCTGATGTCATGAGACCAAAATGGTGAGTTGTTACAGCCTGAACATGTTCATCGCTATTACTAATTGCTATAGCAAGATCAAAGTATATTGATATTAAATTTTATAATATGTTAATCATCAAATCAACTAGATTAATAACTAATAAATAAGAAGCCTACCTTTAGTATAGTTTTGATCATATTGAACCGTGTTGGAATGAGTTGCCATTGATAATGTTGAAAAGAAGAAAGAGAGATGAAGATAAAAATTTGGGACAAAAAAACAGTTGTCAAAGGTTAATATAAAGAGGCAAGAAAGTGGAGTAGTTATAGTTAACTAAGGTATTGGGTAGATAAAGCTACGACCTTTCGATGATTTTTACTAAAAAATTATTTTTAGAACTTTTAAATCTTAACCTTAGTGTCAAAATTTTATCATAGAATACTTGCATTTACCCAAAATTGAGTAGCTCACTTGCTCTACATACTTATCATGTATAACTACTCCAACAAAGACTCTGGTTGTTCTTGATATTATCATCTTTGACTAAATGGGAATTGTGCGAAAGGAAAAAGGGAAAGGGGTGGCAGTTTCGTGAGAGAAGTTTTAAATTTTAATTATCTCAAGTGCTCGAGTAAGTAGGATGTTCAAATCACATATTCGATAAGAACAGAAAGGTTTTTGGGTATATATGGATGAGGCTACACAACCAAATAAGCGAGGAAAGGCTATCGACCTTGTGATAAGTAGTATCAAAGCTAATTTTGAACTTTTGACTTCACATCTAGCGCTTCAATGGGGATAGGTAGAGTGGGTCAATTGTGACCAAGATGTTTCTCATGAGAACCTCAAAAGTGTAAGTACTACACACTTTAATAAATTGGTTTTGCCGATAGAAAAGTAGAGATTTGCTGCACACTTCAACAAATCGATTTTATCGGATAAAAAAAATGAGTCAGTTTTGCAAGAAAAGGATAATGAATACGTTACACATTTTTTTTTTTAAAGTTCCATGCATGTTTGCTTCGTAGCATGTCCACTTTATGTTATTTGAATTTCTATCATTCACCATGCGTGTTTCATGCTCAAAGGGATGTGTTGTTCGGATTATATTGCCTCACTATGAGAATTTTCTTTCTAAAATAAAGCTTGGAGAAACTGAAATATTAGCGTCAAATATGTTTTCCCGGAGTCATTTCCCTCCATCCAGTCCACCTGTTCTCATATTGTTAATGGAATCGGAACTCCATTGTCAAGGCTTGTTGACCAGGAGAAAGAGTTCAAAGCGCGACTAGCTATCGCAAATGCTTCCATTACAGATCCGAATATGACAATTCCTTAACTCACAGACTCTTTTTCAAAGGATTGGAACATTGCCGTGACAGAGTGAGTCCAACAACAAAAACTGAAAAAAATCACAGGGACCAGAATTTACATGTGGTGGCCAGCGTCAGTTGTTTCCCTAGCGACGTTTCAGAATTTCTGGTGAAGGAAATTTATTTGGATTTATCAATGGAAAACAATTATTTATAATGGGAGAAATGCTTTTTATACATGAAAATTTCTATGTCGTATAGAAATTTTCTAGCACTATACCTTGATACTTTCACAGTTGTGGTCGTGCTATCTCGAAAGGTATAAGTAGTTTCATGCATACAATCAAAAGAAGATGGTATTACATAGCATACGCTGATATGCCTGCAATTTCCCTTTTTGTGCAATACGCACGATGACTAGCCTGTCGAGCCTCATTTCACCAGTCCTCTTGGCAAGTGATTAAGCACCTCAGAATTGGGTTCTGCTCTCATGTGTCAATTCCAGAAATCATCCTCCTATTAAATCTCAGCTTATCTCATTATTTACTCCTGCAAAAGCACAAGGGAAAATATAAAGATAATAGAAAATCAAGGGACATTATATGCTAGGCAACTCTTGCTAGCCCAAACAGCAGTTGATCAGTTACCTCAGATGGACAAACCGGAGGCAAACTTGAATCTGCTTCTGCTGGCACTGCCTCAGATATCCTTGCTTCCGATTTTTCATTCGAATAACTAGCAAAAGGTTAAAAACACATTAACCACAAAACTAAGACCAAACTTTAAAATGAGAACAATGTGACATAAAAATAAAATCAGTTTGTAAATGTGTCAGACTAGCAGATTTAATGGATATGTTAAGAATTCTATAAACCTACCCACACCCACTTGCTGCAATAATTAGCTATGAGTTGTCATTCCCAGCTATAACTGCACGAATTGCAGTATTTAATAACTGAAGACTGCTTGTATAAATGCATTGAAGTAGCTACAATTTTTCCAAATAAAAAATTCCTAGAGAAAAAGGTGATGTATACAGACAGACTGACAGATGTGCAGTACTCTACAAAAAGGTATCAGGTCCCCGGTATAACACGCATGCTAACACATATTACTTGCATATCTAAAATCTAAAAGATTGAGCTTAATAAAATGTTTTAGCATGGCATCAACTTTGTGATCATATATCTCAGAATCATACTAGAAAATGCAGCCAATCAGCTAAGATTTTTTTCAATAAGCTAGTTTCTTGGTAGAAAGAGTGTTTCTCAATGCTATTGCCTAATATCTGATAATTCAATATTATAGATACTTACGTTGAGAGAATCGTCACCCAAATAAGTTCTACACAGTCCACCCAAAGTAGCCTTTGTTCTACTGGGATAACACCATAAGTGACAAGATGAGCAAATGGCCAAAGCTTCCATCCAGCCTACATAACAACCATGTACAAGAACACTGTTAGATCAAGTCTTTCTTTTAAACTAATTTCTCTGTTTTATTGTCACCACAGAAAAATGAACCAACACCACATTGTTCAAATACAGAGTGAATAAAATGGCAAGGATAGGAGGTCCTCTTACAGTCAGCATAGGCCAGAATGTTTCCTTCAATTCATTAAAAATACTGATTGGAGATTCAAGGCGCAAAAATTCCAAAACTGTAAAGTAAATGCTATTCCAAACTGCTGCCCATACAGTTTGGTCAAATGCTACTTTTGCAGGAACCACCCACCAGTCTTGAAAAGGAAAAAGCTCCTGAGGAAAAAGTGTAAGTTGCTTCAATAGATCATGTAAAAATCTCTACTATGAACCCGATTTTAGAGATACATAGTGCAGAGTGATTACCTCACAGAATTGGTAATAGTAATGAGACAGGGAACCATGTAGAGTAAAGCCAACAATGCCAGATCTGAACATTCGTGTACGATCAAACTCAAAGAGAGGCTTCCCTTCAAAGCACTGAAAGAATAAAGGCAATTAAGATAAAATTTATGACCAAAAACAAAACATTTAAGGTATTTCTTTAACAACATAAACTTACCTGCGCAATCCAATCCCCTAGAGAATAGACAACGCCACTAATAAGCATTTTTGCCAATACGGGGTTTGTCTTCAAAGCTTCCTCATAAGCACTCCAGTTGTGCTGAGGTGCATATCTCAGTATCTCATAAAGAGTCCATCCCTAAGACAAAGCCAACAAATTGGTTCTCATAGGTTGCAAATCAAATTGATTATGACTTACCAATGCTATGCAGTACATAATCATATCGAACAGATTAAACAAATCTGTTTGATTTGAATGTGGAAATTTACAAACAGTACTTCTTTGTCAAACAAAAGATCCTAGTCATCAAAACTTTAGCAAATGAGTTAAAGTTCCCACATTTCCATGGAAATTAGATTATTGACCCGTTGGAGACAGCTAAACAAATTGTTTCTAACCACTGATTCTCAGGCAGCTACAACATCCATAAGCAATATTTGCAGATATTCTCTAATTAACTTAGCCATACTGCTTCTAGCCATATCTTCATCCCCATTATCCCCAACTTCCATCACAATCAGGTTCTAAGTACCCTATTGTTGGAAATTTGCTTTGAACACGTCTAACAGTTGTCCAACAAATTCTTCTACCTCTGCACTCCATTCATTTGAAAAGGCTTGCTCTAGCTGCTCTCTGCATACACTATTCTAAACCTTATGGTTTTTGCTACAACACAATATTATTCCAGTTGTTCTTCAAGAAATCTCTCCCTTTTATTTATCACAGTTCATCTCATAACAAATCATGCCCGCAATAAACAAGTTATGGCAAGTACCAATTAGAATAACTAAAATAAACTTATAAAAACAAGATGCTGTAGCAAGCTATTCAGCTATATACTGCCCCAACAGCTCAGCGCACATCTAGATTAATCACGTGATTTCAAATTTGACAAAAAAGATCCTGAAAGTCAAACAAGTACCGGGATGAAACTATCTAATTGTATAAGAAAAAGAAGAACTTTGACTGCTTTAATGCCAAGATACATGCTAAAGAAATAAGGGGAACTTTCACATGTTCATGTCAGAAAATATCTCAAAAAAAAAAAAAAAGGAGGAAAAGAAAAACAAATCCAATGCAAAGCCAAAAGTAAATAGCTTTTGCATTCTTCAGCAACTAAAAGAGCAAAAGGAAGAAAGAGAAAGGAGTGAGCGCTTTACAAACATGAAAATAGTAGGATTTTGACAAATTTCATAAAATTCACAAACAATTGGAAAGGAAGAGTATATAAAACCAATCCGATAATAAAAACACTACAAAAGAAAATTTTCATTTTTAAATATAAACATAACCTTACCTGCCAATAATCATGATCAATGGTAAGCAACTTGGTAATGGCAAAAGTACCAGCAGCAAGAGCAATAGTAGCATTAATAGTTCTATCTATAAGCTTCTCCATTTCCTCCTGATTTCCTTCTCCATCACCAAATCCACTCCCTGAAGCTGAACCTGAAGAAGAAAATCCTTCAAAAGATAACCTTCCTTCATTGCCAAACCCACCTACTTGACTCACTAACTCTCCTCCTTCTGTTTCTCTCTCCACCTGACTCACCACAACTCCTTCTTGCATATCAGTAACATCCTCACTTTGTACCGGTATCACGTCAACCTCCTCAGCTAATGAGTTCACCACCACCGACTTGGCCTTTTTGTTGGTATTCTTTTTCTGTTTGGTTCCCGAGAAACTAAGGCTCTCCGGGAGTTTTGAGGTGGTTAATGAGGAAACTGAGACCTGTCTCGAAATGGGTTTGCGTGGTTTTGATAGAGAAAGGAGTCTTTGAGGACATATCGTCGTGTGAAGAGACGCCATGGCTGAGTTTGTAGGAGAAAATGAATTGAGTTGAGTCTACCGAGATATGACTCGGCGCCTAATAAGACTTTAAGAACCACTTGTTATGGTTTTTTCTAGTTTCCCCAGCGTTGCAAGTATCGGAAAGTGCCGTTTCTTAAATGAGTGTGTCTTTGGGTGGGGTAATTCAATGTGGTAAGGCTTATGGTTTTGTGCATTTGACTTTTCTTGGTTTTTCTTATGAACGGTGATGATCATAATGATTGAGTAGAGACGCCAAAAAGGATAGGTTCAACTTTGACTCACGAGTAGTTCATATTCTTTTGTTAAAATCCTTTGAAGCTTGGTTTTTTTGGCTTGAATCTAATTATTTTATATTTTTCTAGTATTAAATGATTAAATAAATTTAAATTATTTTGATTGAAAATTATTTTAATTTTAATTTTCAGATTTAAGTTATTTTCAATTCAATCATTATTAAATGTCTTCGAAATTGAGTCTTCAAATTTTTTATTAATTCAAACCTAAAATCTAAATTGATTCGAATTAATGTTTTTGGACGATTTTTTATGTTTGGTTTAAAGTTAATTTTTAGGTTAAGCTTTTCTAGTTTGGACGGTGATTGATGGTCTTTTTGTGACAGTGTAAGTTACTATGATAGAGTGTTATGTTGAGGATAACTTTTGTGTGGGTGGAGGCTGGTCCATTGGGTAGGTTTAAGATGAGACAATATGATCCACATAAAAAAGGCTGGCTGAGATTTAAGAAAATAATACTATAATCGTAGTTGACCCAGAGAAAAAGAAAAAATAATTAAGAAATTTTTTTAAAATTTTAAAATTAAGAAAAATATATCAAGGTTTTCACATGTTAAGCTTATTGTAAATTTTATTTAGAAGGTCTTAACAATTACTAGAATCAAGAATTGTGGGTCCCAAAAGAAGGTTGCCATTGGTCAAAGCAAATTTAGGTGGGCCCAGTTAATCTATAGCTGCCAATGTAAGCCCCTAGGCAAATCCAAACAAATACGGGTCAATGGGGCCATGAAAAGCCCTATATGAGGATAACTACATCTTAAAAATATCCGTCCTTGTTAGTGATTCTAGTTCTAGATAATTAGCAGCATCCCAAAATTTTGCTGCAAATTTTATAAACCATTCAAAATTTCCAAGACCCTCATTAATTTTTATTCTTGTTTGTATATGGAATGACAAATTGGAGACACGCAGATTTTGAAGTTTTCCTCTGAATTTTGTGGCCAATAACTTGACACAAATATATGGTTTTGCCCCTTGTCATGTTGGAATTGTTCTTTGCTTCAGAACAAGAATTATAGGGTTTTATTGGGACCTAGATTTTTAGGCTTTGAACTATATATATTCATAAAATATAAGATAATTTTTAGATATGTCCAAGATCGATGCTTATCATTTTCACCCTTTTAAGGACATTTTTTTATATATTTTTTATAGTTTATTTCTTAATAATGTAGTTTTTTTTTTATTAATCTTTTTGAATTACAATTCATGAATTCAAAATCTTTAACTCTAGAATAGCTTCCAGCACCATTAAACTATCAGCTAGTATTAGGTTTCATTTAGATAAACAATAAAATTGATTGTAATAAGATTAAAATAATAACAAAATAAATTATAGTTACGATTAAAAAAATTATTATAATTACGATTAAAATAAAAATTTTAATAAAATTTTTTTATCAATTTAATCTCATTAAAATTATTATTTAAAGTTAATTAAAAATATAATAAATTTAATCGTCTCACATAAAAAATAGTATGATGAAAGCCAAACAGCTACTTAATTATATACCTTTGGCTCATATTTCCACCACCAAGTCGGTTCATTGGTCGATACTTTCCGGTATGGGTCATAAAATCAGCAATAATGTTAGGTGGAGGATATATAAATAAATATATAAGTGTGTTTATTTTTAGTATAAATTATAATTTAATTATATGTAAGTATAATTTTTATTAAATTTAAATATTTATTAATATTTTTATTAATATAATAAATAATGAATATTAATTAAATAAATAATAAAATATTTGTTTATATATTTTGAAAATGATTAAAATAAATTAAATAAATAATAAAATATACTTTTGTTGGTTGATGAAATGGCAGCTAAAGTTAAGGGTGTGTTTGGGTTTTTCTTATACTATATTTGGGCCTAGGATAGGTCCCAGGCTGATTGGGCCACGAGATTAATAACCATGCAGCCAAACAGAATAAAAAATACGTAAAATTAAAAATTAAAAAAAAAAAAAGGGCCAACGGCTAGATCAAACCCGCCCCAACCGAAGAGCTTAAGTGGAAACTCTAGATCCTTGGGAAATTGAATCCATTTCCAGAGAGAGAGAGACAGAGTGAGAGAGAGGGTTGGAGTGTAAGCCAAAAGTGCCAAACCGAACACTCCAAATCTCACTTAATAGCCTTTTTTCTTCACATTTCTACATTTGATCTATGGATTTTATTAGTTTCTTATAGATCGAAAGAAACATAATGGCGAACTATTTAGCCCAGTTTCAAACAATCAAGAACGCTTGTGATCATCTCGTCATTGCTGGTAAATCCCTTTTTTTTAGTTGAATTTAACTCTTTAATCTTGGGTTTTTTTGGGGATTTTATGTTGTTTGGGTGTGTGGGATGGGGGATTGTGTTTACTTTGTGATTAGATTTTTGATGTGGAAATTTTGAAGTTTGATGTTAATTGTTGTTGATTTGAGGTTTTTAGTTGATTCTGTGAAGTGGGTAGTTGAGTTTTTGAAGTGAGGGATTGGTTTCAAATCTGGACAGTTTAGTTGAAAGGGGTAGTTGTTAGTGATCATCTGGTAAATGTTGTTGCTTTGAGCTTTTTTGTTGATTTTATGAAGTGGGTATTTCATTTTTTTGACTGAGGAAGTGGTTAGATGCGTGGAGAGTTACTTGAAAACCTCAGTGATCTGTAAATATTGTTGTTTTAAGTTTTTTACCTTATCCTCTTGACTGATAGATTGTTTTGAAGTGTGGAATTCTGAAAATTTTGGCGATATGATCTATCCATAGCTAATTCATCAATCCAAAGTTTTGCTGCCCTTCAAGATGTTTGTATGTTAAAGTAACTGGTGAACCATGTGTCAGAATGAGCTGACACGAAATTTGTTATGATATGCTCCTTGCTACAGATTTCTAACTAACTATTTAACCTTGAACTGCTTTTCAGTCGAAGATGTGAGTGACTTGTGGCCTACTGTCAAGAATAGTTTTGAAGAGCGGCTGCCATTCAAAAGAGCTTGCTTAAATAACAAGACCCGCAATCCTGTGTTTGTAGAGAATTTGCCAGTTGAATTCATATTAACCACTGATGCAAGACTGCGCAGCCGATTTCCTCAGGAGCAATATTTATTTTGGTTTCAAGAGCCATATGCAACTTTGGTTCTGGTTACATGTGAGGTACATACAATCTTGTTTATAATCTACATTTAAATTTTGTGTATCAAATGAAAATTTCTTTTGGACAGATTTCAAAGAAAATTAAATCATCCACATTATTTTTGTAATTGACAAATAAAGTTAAAAGACCAACAGATTTTTAGATTCATAAACTTATTACCACACTTCGGGAAAAAGACTCTTCTTTAACCTTTTTTATAACTCAGATCTTCGCCCTTCACCTGAGCATGTATAGTAACACCTAGTTGTGTGGGCAAACCTTTTCGTCCCATAGTTAAAAAGAGTGCAAGATGATTCTTTCCACCAAATGTTCATTTTATCATGTTGCAATTTTATTTATTAAAAACCTTCTGTTTGATAGTTCTAATTGTTAGGGAAAAGCTATCCTTTGGTGTGCATACCTGTGTTCATATTTCAATTGCAGGATAGCACCAGTTGTGTCATGCATGTTTGAATCTTATTATTCTATCTTGAATCTGAATGACTAAGTTAAAAAATCCTTACCTTGATCTGTTTGGATGAGTGAGGCTTAGCTTATTGCTTTTCAGCTCTTTGGAAGGGCATGTGAAGTAGTGGCTCATTAAAAAGTATTAGAAATAGAACTCAAAAGGTAAAAAAATTGAAATTTGATTTTAGTTTAGGAGTTCTGAACTTCTAAATTTATAGTTAGACTTTTCATGATAGCTTCTTGTTCTTTTTTCTCTTTTTCTTTGATTCTTGTGTGGGTTAATCTCTTTGTTCATGTTCATTTTCCATTTTTATTATGTGCTTATTGTTTTATTCAAATTCAATTTTCTCAGGATCTTGATGAGTTCAAGGCTATTCTTAAGCCACGCCTGAAATTAATTGTCCAAAATGATGAGCGTGAATGGTTTATTGTATTTGTGTCTAGAGCTCATCCAAACAATGATCAGGCCACAAAAATGGCAAAGAAAGTATATGCCAAACTTGAAGTTGATTTCAGCTCCAAGAAGAGGGAAAGGTAAGCTTGCGGCTCTCTGCATCTTGTGTATATTCTATTTGATGGCATGAGTGTTGTTTATGCTGCTGCCAATGACTTTAGCATTGAAGTAATGCTATGTAGGTAGGGTTCAGGTCTTGGGTTTCATTCTTTAAGTATGGCTAGAGAATATGTTACAAATTTGCGGTGAGTTTTCCCCCCTTCTTTGGAGTGTTGTTTTTTATATTCTGGCATTCCTAAAGATTTATTTCCTTGGTACATTAAACTTTTTTTTACTTAGCTAACAACTTGATACTGGGATGTTGCACCCATGTTGCAAATCTTTGGAAAAGAAAAATGTGGTGGAACTTCAAAAGTAGCACCCTCAGGAAACTGGTGTTTGACTTTAACTTTGTCATTTTCTGATATTCCAAAACCCTGCTTCACTTAGGTGCTGCAAGTTTGACGTACATGGCCCTGAAGCAAATATTTGGGAAGATTTAGAGTCCAGGATTATGGAGTCTATCAGAAATACATTGGATAGACGTATACAATTCTATGAGGATGAGATGCGCAAGCTTAGTGAACAGCGATTCATGCCAATTTGGAACTTCTGTAATTTTTTCATTTTGAAGGTTTGGTCCTCTTTCAAAATTAAAGAATATGGTTATGGCTGATATTGATCAAGGCATAAACTTTATGATTTTCCGTTATTTGCTATCTCAGCTTCTATTTTATCTAAAAGCATATATATAATT